TAGTGAAAAACAAAATCAGCTGATTTCTCAAAAACCCCATTTTTTCCCGAACTATCTTTTTGTTAGCATGGAACCCATATCACAGAGCTATGTATATGCCAATTAATCAACTTGATGAATAGAGCGAGATTTCAGTGATGCAAAAAAAATATGAATATATATATTGATAAAAAATCGAAGTAAAAATGTTACCAGCTTTCCTTTAGGAAAGATAACATAATAAAGTCTAAAGCACTAGCCCTCAGGAATACCTTAGGTGATTTTATTTTAAAATAGATATATATGAATAATAAATAGATATATTAATCAAATAAATAGATATGTGTATTAATTAATATATTTACGCTTCTATTTCTAAAAGTCGCTGTTGGAATCTAGACCACAATTGACTCTTTTTATAATATATCCAATTATTATTATCTGGAATATAATATTTCCGATACCAACTAATTTCAAATTCAGCATTACCAGGGTACCTATTATATTTTTTTATATACTCGGCATATTCTTTATTAAGACGTATTTTAATTTGATCTAGAGATACAGGATTTTTTATTTTATGTGGAATTAATGTTAGAAATTTCTTATCATCTGGAGTATTATCATTCGGTAAGCTATTCCATGCAAGCCGTGCATTCGATAGCTCTTTCTCTTGAAAACGTCTCCAAACTCTTTGTATAAGCCTTGCATGTCCAAAATCGGTATGTGGTCTTGAGCATTCATGATCATAATGTTCTTTCATTAAATCGAATGGATCAACATTTGGACCTAAATTAACATTAACATGCATAAGTTTCATACATCGGAAACATATTGCTGTACCATCCTCATATAACCTACCTCTACTGTAATTATGTTTATCGAAATTTGCGCCTTGGGTATATGTGGCATGAAGACAATACTGGTGAAATGTAGAACGTGGCCCTCCCCACGAACATAACTCTTGAAGAGCAATTCTAACTCGACAAGCCCACTGAATGGGTGTTTCTCCATCAAAGATCATACTAATAGAATCATAAGGCCTTTCAGCGTCGATAACTCTATTAAGACGATTATGTCCACCAGTCCTTTCAAGCCTTCTATTTATATTATATTCTGCTCTTGACATATTTAACGATTAAATTAAATTATAGTGTTTTTAGAGATTATGCGATTTATATCGAATTTAAGGATTTGATTTAATACCTATATACTCTAGAATAAGTGGATTCATTTTTAATAAAACGAGAAGATAATCTATAGTTATACTGATTTATGGGAAAAAATCGAAATATATATTAATATTACATTAATACGCATGATTTTTGAGAATCTAAACCATGTGTAGTTAATCCAATTTTGATATACCTGTATATGATCGCACAAATATCAACTGACCTCTTACACGTTCTATGAACTTCTAATTTAGCTCGATGGCGCATGAAAACACTAAATGTATATGGATTGGTATTTGATATATGAAAAATAGCAATTTTTTGTATTAATATATAATATCTATTCGTTTCACAATGATTTTTTTTGTGATACCGCTAAAAATTATTTTCTATCGTTATTAATAATAAAGCCTTTTCTTATTGTATATGGTTTCTCCGATAAGAAGAAATACCAATGAAACTTGAAAAGGATAAAAGAATGGAAGGCTTATTGTTCTTATCAGTAATAATATCAAAAACTCTTATGTTATGGAACTTGAGATCTTTACAATCTCCGAGATCGCCAAAATTTGTCTTATTTTTTATTCTACAAAAAGCGATCGTCTGACAGAAGGGTTTAAATCCCCCCCCCGTAAATGACGAAATATTTATTCTCAGTGCAGGTTCTCAGATTTAGTGAATGGAATAAGCTGGCGTCATTTTTAAATCATCAATTTTTTTAATTTTTTAAAATACTGTAAATTTATCATGTGAGACTGATAAAAATCAATTGTTGCACAGATTGTGTAAAAATCTTTTCTATTTAGTTAGTTATGTTTGTTTTCAGTTTAACCAAATCCTTCAAACGTTTGCCTACTGGTAGTAGTTGTATCTCAAATACGCTGGGTAATGGCTGTGTTGCTCGTTATACAATGCAAGTTAATCGTGAAAAGATCTTTTTCAATCGGAAACGAGAACTTGTTAAATTTAAAGAAGCATTTAGTTCCGATCCACAACTTCATGTTGTTCTAGGTCCTCCTAGTAGTGGGAAAACCGCATTGGTCCGCGAAGTAACGAGTAAAGGTAATTTCAACCCTCTTTTTATCGACTGCCGTAAAGGACAATTTAACACACCAAAGACAATTTATGATTCAATTTCTTCGCAATTCCAACCATTTTTCAAAACACATACGAAATACTTGACAAAAATGCTTCAACAAGGGGAAATCAGTGCTGTGATGGATGATTTACAGTTAAAATTTAAACCATTTAATGAGAATGAGAAAGATATTACTTCTGATGATGTCATAAAGTTGCTTGATAATATTGCAAGTGCCCTTCCGAAATGGACCTGTTGGGATGGTTATAACATACCTCCACCCATTTTGATCATTGATGAAGCAAACAAGTTTAGCCATCTTGGGGGTTCAAAAGATGGAGAAGTTCTTCTCGAATCAATTCTGGACTGGCTTGTGGTGAATACAAAACAGGAAAACCGCTTCCACGCTGTACTTACCTCTTCCGATTCATTCTTTCTTAACTGGATTGTAAATTGTAGGTCAATTTTGTAATCATATTTAGTAGCAATGTAAAAGCCTATCATTTTCTAATCTACATTTGTTCTAATAGTTTTGCATGTCCCACATGTTGCCCCATATGTTGTTGGAGATTTGAGTAGGAAAGAAGCTGAAGAGTATTTTGAAATGCATATTCTTCCTCGACATGGTATGTCCTTTTGCTAAATCATATATTTACTCATATCAAGTACTCACATGGTATTTATTATTTAAAAAAGAATGTGAAGAACTCAGAGGTAAATTTGACCGGGTCTGCAAAATAACAGGTACACGAATGCTCATTATTGATAAGTTTGTCAATGAATACAAAATTTACAGAGGAAAGCTTGAAGGTACATATCAGATTTATTATTCCCTTTTAGAAGATGACCATTTTTGCCAATTTTAAAACCTAATATTTTATAACTAATTATTTTACAGATAGTGAATTTTCGATTTTTAGACTAGAAGATGATAAGTTGAAGCGTGGTCTTTATCCTAAAAGCTTGAAATTTTCAAATAAGCCTTCTCCACCAGCCTGGAATGATCGTCATTTAATCAAAACTATGGAAGCAATAGTGAAAGCAGAGGATCAAGGATTCATTTTAGAAGAAGATTTGATTAAAGCAATCGGTGATGAACAAGTCTATTCACTTGTAGATTATAATTATCTACATCGTAGACCAACCAATCAATATGCCAATGACATTATTGACCCACCAGATGAAGTAATTTTGACTGCGATGAATCAGCCGTCATTATGCGCGATGAAGCGTCTCTTGTTACGACAAGCAAAAAATAATTGCCATTAGTTAGAATGTTCATAATTTTTATCACTTCACAGTACATTACAACATTTTAATGGTGTACTTTAAGATTTGCACGATTTTTAACTATGTAAAAAGTTTTTTCAAAATGTAATAAATAAATTGGCGAAATCAAAATAAACTTGCTATAGCTTAGAATTTTGCAAAATACCTCTATTATGACTAAAAAGATAAAACCGATGTGGGCAAACCAATACTTTATTTTTTGCCTAAAAAAAAGCTATATTAGGAGACTGTTGACCCCTCGCATTACATCATCAATATGCCAGAAAATTTTTTTCTAGAATTCTTTTTGACTTAACATAAAATATCGAGTTCTTTCTTGACATGACGATTGATCTCTTCCTGTACAAATTGGGATAATAATATCTTGGGTTTTCTTAATTTTTTATATAAGGCATAGTTTTAAAATAAAAATCACGCGCGCGTGAACAATTGTTCACGCCGATCACTTTAGCAAGAAAAAAAAAATGAATGTGTCTCAATACTTTGATATAATACGTCATTATACATAAGATATTAATATGTCTCGCAAATCTAGAAACAATAGGCGAAAAACTCAAGGCAAATTCACGGATAACCCTACACAGTATATGCAATTCAAAAATCTCGTTAAGTATATGCACATCATAGAAGGTGAAAATATAGTTATAATCAATAGGAGTACCCAGGATGTGAAAGCGATTTTTAATTATGAAGAGGTATATAGATATCTAGAGGTAAATAATCTCGATTCGGGTATTTTAAATATGTATAGGAAATAATTGGCTTATTTTTTCGAATGCACAAAAAAATCGATCACCAGGGTTAGTTTTTATTGATATAGAAAAAATAAAAATACAGGATAAAGAAACCTTAATTAGGTGGAGGGGAAGACATTGTTGAACTACTTTCATCACTTTCGTGGGTTACAGAATTAAATAGTAAAGACAGATCAACGATCAAAATTCTCTATAATTAAAAAAATAGTGATTAAGATGCGGAATAAATATATCATAGAATATAAATGGATGCATACCCGTAGCAACAACAAAGTCTCAATGAACTCAAATATAGCCTTCCTATCATTTGTAAATTGTGTTGGAATATTCACCGATTTTAAAAGAAAAAGACGGCTTATTCTCTCATGATCACGAATAAGAACGTATAGATTGAATTTCCGTCCAGCAACTTGAAATCTGAGAATGGCGAACTCATCTTTTTCTTCTAATTTACACCCTCTATTCGTCCAATATAAACCATCATTAAGCTCCCGCCACAATTTCACTCTATCATCATCTTCTTTTGTGTCGCTACAAATAATACGTGAGCATTCAGCAAACATTAATTCATAGTCTCTATCCATATGTTTCGCTATCAACATAATGTCTGGACGCTTTCCTTTCTCCCCTCTTCTGTCTTTGCTAGCCACGCTTTGGCGTTCCGCTCTATAATGGAGGAAATGTAAATAAAAAATATTAGGAAAATAAGAGAGTTCACTTACGTGCTAATATATGCAGATTTTCCTATTGGCAGATTTTTTAATGTGGCTCGAATAACAGGGACAATAATATCTGCTATGTATGTTCCCTCACTCTGCGTCTTAGCGAATTTAGGGCTAAAAGCTGGATTTTTCCAGATCTCTCCCCTATAGTATAAAAACATCATTATTATAAAATTTTATGAATGGGTTGACAATAAATAGATCCAGTATAATACTTACAAAGTATCAAGTATTCTAACCGCAATATCTCTAAGAACCTCTTCCCTCTCCCCCCAATTCTTATGTGAAAGTTTTTGTGAAGGTATCTCCATAGAACCATCGTCATAGTTTGTTAAAAAATCATCACATACTGTTTCGATTGAGTGAGGGAGAGCTACTTGCATATGTTTCACCGGTTCCTACAAATATATATTTCATTAATTTTAAGTATATATTTTATAACGCAAAGATGCATTTATATTGTTCTATAAACATAATTGGAATATATTCTATTCTTACCATGAAAGACTTGTAATCATCTTCTGGTAATTTCTTGACCATCTCCATTTCACTACTGAGAACCTGGCTCGCAAGTGGATCGCACCATGAAAGTTCCGAGGGATTAACATTTCCTAACCTCTTCCTTAAAATATTAGCATACCGAGCCTTGCTTTTTTTTAGATCCCCTTTTAATATCCGCAAATTTTTTTCAATTGTCTCGATGGTCAATTCTTCTTCTCGTCTAGCAACCTCGAAATCTCGAAGACTACACACTCCTTCGAAGGCGTCATCGAACTAGCGCGTAAAAACTCAAGTTAGATATTGTTATAAATAGATCTATACTAAATTCGTGTGCGCACACGTCGGATTTTTATCATGCAAAATTACCAACTATGTATGGCCAGTACATAGATGATAAATTACACGACATACATATTCGTCTTAAACTAGAAGAAAAGAAATACCCCCATACGTCTGTGGATTAAACCATTTTTGATCAACCCAGGGCTTGTATGGCTTTGGATATAACTTTGTCCCAGTTATCAGGAATATACTCCGCGCTATCATCATATAAAATATAAAGTTTTCCTATCAAATGATTTAATCACTAACCTTTAAAGGTAAACTCAGAAGCTTTAGGTATTTTTCCGAACCAGGTGTATATGAAGGCATAATAGCAGAAATTGCTTGGTGAAATATTTGTCTTAAATTATCCTTTAAGATCCAAGGCTCTTCATTCATTGCCTGATAAATTACTGAAAACGCAGTTATATGCTCTGGTAATGCAATACGGAGAAAATTACAGATAGAAACATATAATGTGGACATATTTGCGTGGTTAGTTTTGAGATATAAAAAATAATAGATTTCTTTGATAATACAAGTAATAAAATCACTATAAAAGCAATGAATAACCATAACTTCGATATACTGCCCTTTTAAACGTTTTCGTTCATCTCTTTCTACGTCTTCTTTCGGTTCTACAGAATGAGTATAATGCAGAGGAATAAAGAATGTTTTTTACGCCAAGAATTATCTTACAAAGAAAATGAATGTACATGAGGTAATTAATCGAATTTGGTTAATCGCACAAATAAACATGCATGCATAATTTATATAGTTACACCGCACAAGTACAGTCGGAACTCGATAAGACGTAACTCGATAAAACGAATTTTTGTTATAACGAAGTTTTTCTAGTTTACCAATTCATTTATAATAAAATCAACTCGATAAGACGAAGATTCCTATTGTTTCACTTTAATGTTTAAGATGATGTTTTCATATGGTTCCATATATAGTAAACTATAACTCGATAAGACGAATAACATCGGTTTATCGAAGGAAACTTCGCTTTATTTTGTACAATTTTATAAATGATTTACAGTAGTGGTAGTACGTATTGTTCCCTAAAATTAAAGATGAAAAATACACTGACGTTGAAAGATAAAAGAGAAATATGTGTTCTAAAACAATCAAAACCTACTCCAACGAATAGAGACCTTGCTATTCGTTTTAAAATTCGTGAAAATACTGTTTGTGACATATTAAAACGAAAGTCAGAATATCTTGCTATTAATCCAGAAGATCCCAATTCACATAATAAACGTTTACGCAAAGGAAAATATTCAGGTCTAGAAGATGCATTAATTCTTTGGACAACACAAATGCTTAAAGCAAATTTAACTATTAATGGTTCTGTATTACAATCAAAAGCAATATGTTTTGCGGAATTGTTAGGTTTCCGAGATTTTAAAGCATCAGGCGGATGGCTAAGTAATTTTAAAAAAAGACATAATTTTTCTCAATATAGTAAAGCTGGCGAAGCTAATAGTGCACCATTAGAATTATTACCATCTGAACGTGATCGATTACAAAATATTATTTCACATTATGATTTGGATAATGTGTACAACTGTGATGAAACCGGTAAATAATTTTATTTACAAACGGTATTTAATGAAAAATTTTAAATTTAACATTATACTAGCTCTATATTGGCAATTAGAACCATCCAAGACCTTGGCACAGGGACCTATATCAGGTATCAAAAAATCGAAAAATCGCATTACAGTTCTATTAACATGTAATGCTACAGGTAATGATTACATCAAGCCATTAATTATTCATAAATATAAAAACCCTCGTGCATTAAATGGAAAACAAAGAGAGGACTTTCCGGTAGAATATTATTGGAACTCGACTGCCTGGATGCAATTATCAGTATGGCATGACTATTTAAAAAAACTTGATACATCTATGCGACAAAAAAACAAAAAAATTCTACTTTTGGTGGATAATGCACCAACTCATTCAAATCGTGACCTTAATTTAACACATGTTACAATTGAATATTTATTACCAAACACAACCGCACATCTCCAGCCACTCGACGCAGGAATAATTAATTCGTTTAAGGTTTTTTTAATCTTATTATTATGTAGTTGGGAAATAAAAATAAAAAAAAAATAATAATGTATTAACATTTAATTATTAGGCCAAATATCGCAAATTACTGGTACAAAATCGTATAGAGGCATATGAAATTTCTCAAGAATTCGAGACTCCTATTGTTCCATTAAATATCTGGAATGCAATTGAATGTTGTGCAAAATCTTGGAAAGGTGTAAGTTCCGAAACAATTCAAAATTGTTGGGAAAAAACCCAAATAATCCCACCATCATCACAAGATAGTCATATTGTAGAAACTGTTCAAGATAATTTTGAAGAAGAATCATCACAACTGGAACATCTAATTGACAAATTACCATTTGACGATCCTATTATGGCAATTGATTATATTACGATTGACAATGAAGTGGTTGAAGAAGAAACAGTAATGGAAGATGAAGAAATCATAGCTACAGTCACATTGACATCTAACAATGGTAATCAAGAGGAAGAAATAGAAACTCCTGTAGTTACTTTAACTGAAGCATTGAGAGGTGCTGAAGCACTTCTTAATTTTGTAACTTACCCACCAGAAAAATTTGAAATTTCAACAAAGCAAATTTCTAGTATTCGTTCTGTTAGAAGTAGCATTTTATTATATAAAAGTTCACTAGTGCATCAACGTAGTATAGATGAATATGTAAACTTTGATGTATAATTTTTTAAACCGAATTTTTTTTTTAAAATATATTAACTTCGTCTTATCAAAGATTACTTGATAAAACGAATATTTGATAAAACGATGTTTTGAGCCCAAAACAAGTACATCGGTTTAACGAGTTCTGACTGTATATAAATAGTTTTTTTATTAATAATTTATATTTATACATGAAGCAAAATTTTAAAAATCCATTGCAATGCAAATTTAATTATATATATTGAACAAGATTCATCAAAACACACAGAATTTCATTAATTAGAGAATGCTATTAAAATTAACATGTAAAAATATAATGTTCAGCATTTTAAAATACCTGATGATCAAGTCTTAGTATTTTATTTTTTGGATGATTCACACCATCAAATAGATTTTTGTTTGGATCATTCTCAAGATATGCTTCAATAAATTTATGTAAAAAATATAATAATTTTATTAGTAAAAAATATTATACATTATTATTATTTTCTTCTAATGTAGTTCTATTTATACATAACCTAACAGTAAACTTATTACTTATTGTTTCATTCCCCTATTATCTATGATTTTTATTTCCTTCCACATAAATACTATATCTCCACTACCTTCTGATCTTGTACATATATCTGAAAAAACAGCTTCATTATTTTCATAATATTTAATGGCCCAATCTTCTGACCCCAGACATTCATTTAAATTTTCTTTCCCCTCCATTCCTTTAAAAACACATCTATACCACCTATCAACACTTGAATATCTTGTTATATGATTACTAAATATTTGAACAAATACAGCTTCGTGACAAGTTAGAACAAATTTCTTCCATCCTCTTCCACTTCTATTATTTTTGTAGCAACTCCAAAAACCAGATATAATTTCTTGTTTAAATTGCTCAACCAAAAATTCAGGAACTTCTAATGATAATATACTTACAGGTGGACTGTTATATTCTTTATGTTTTTGAGCTTCATGTCTTCGTAAACCATTAATGTTTTTTTACTAATAATCATTTTGACACAAATTGCACTTATAAATTTGGTTCTAATTTACAAAAATAGAATATAAAAACTATTAGATTAAGAAGCTAGAAAACAGTAAACAGTTGTCAACTACTTACTTGGACTTGGATTTGGTTCATTTTTATAATTATGCGTGTATATATATATTTACGTTTATCTAAAATTAAATGTATATAGATCAGTTATTTGACTATTTCTATAGTATTTTTGTCCTACAGTATATAGTGGGACGATTTGGTGGACTTTTTATATTATGAAACTTACCCTGGGACGATTTGGTAGACAATGTAAAGAATATACAACAAAAAAAATTTTTTTTTTTTTTTTTTTAAAAATGTGTTTTTATGAAAATACAAAGTATTGCTAAGAATATCACCTGAAAAAAGATTTTATTTACTAAAAAAAATTATATGTTTACTATGTAGTGAATTTAATCGTCTATATATGCATTGTTAAAAAAAATGGATCAGCACTAATGATTAATTTTTTTATTTTTTTATTAGTATCACGTGCAACCGATAAAATATTCTTGTAAATGTCAAAATGTCACCGCATATAATATATTTTTTTTTTGTTAGAAATTTTAACTATACAATTTGGAAATTTAAATAGAGAAATATTTTTGTTTGATACAAATCTTATGCATGGATGACAAACTTTCAATACAACTCAGACAACTCATCACATACCAACAATAATTCCACCTCAACTAATGGTGGTGGTGGTTTTGTACCAAGTATAATCGCAGAAATAGCATCTTTGGTTGTTATAATTTCAGGAATACTTGTAGCTTTTTTTTATATTTTAAAACGTAGAAAATCTAAGGCTGGAAAGATTATTGAAATGCCAAGTAGTTCTGACTATAATAAACTGAGTGAATACGCAGCATCAATAATTATTATAATTATTCTCATATATGTGTATTTATGTGTGTAATATAATGTATTTTTACTATTCTAATTAAATAATTAACCAATTTTTTTTTTTGCGTTAATGATTCTTTTTCCTTTCAAATGCTGTCGTGTCAACTTTATAAAAATTTTAAAAACTTTTTTTTCAAATAATTAATGCTTCCAACATTTAAAACATCAGGAAATTATTGAGATCACTACCATTATCCATTAGACAAAATACATTCACGGTAAACTGAATTTACCGTTACAAGTCTCAACCGAGTCTTCTTTACAACGAATTATTTCCCGTGAAACCAAACATTTCAAATATAACACAAAATATAAAAATCCACACAAAAATTACGACATTTAGTAAGGCACCGTAACACGGTAACCTTTCCAATAAAAGAAATCTCAGACTGATATAAATAGAATTTCCATTATACTCGTGTTACTATTACTGTTTTTTGAAGCATTCCTTTTTTGAAAGAAAAAAAAATTACGAGACAACTAATGGATATTGACATTATTGACCAATCTCAAGTTGAAACTTGGCCACTGATGGAACTTGATAATACTTATATATTTAATAATAATAATAATTATATACATCAACATAGTAATTATGATTATGGTAATACTTATGCACTTGATAATAATTATAATAATTGTATACATGATAATATTTATATACTTAACGACTTGGAACCATTAGTATCTATAAGATACTATAATACAGGCGAGCCGGAGTATAGCAAGCACGCAAGGGAGCCAGATTATTTCCAACAAGAGACTTTAAGGGAATATTTACAAAATAATCATTCAAAGTTGACTTTGAGTGGTAGAATTACACTCTTTAAAACTTTGTGCTTATCATTAAGTGATATACATGACAGAGGTTTAATCTATCGTAATCTACATAGCGGGAAGGTATTAGTACAAGCAGGTAAATGTTATATTACAGATTTAGGATCGTGTGGACCAGTTGATGGTAAAAATGAAAAGGATGGAATGATTCCATATATTGCACCCGAGGTTCTTCGAAAAAGAAGCAAAAATACAAAAGAATCTGATGTTTATGGTATTGGAATGTTGATGTGGGAAATATTTTCTGGAAGTCCACCATTTGATAATATAGCCCATGATCATTGTTTAATTTTGGAAATCTGTAAAGAAGATTTAAGACCATCAATTTTACCAAATATGCCTGAAGAATATGCGGAAATGATGCAAGAGTGTTGGGATGTTGACCAGTCTAAAAGACCAACTATTGGTGAACTTTACAAATTTGCTAGGGATTTTTCAGCAAATGTTGATGATAATCAAGGTAAACTAGATTTTCATTGATAACTTTTTAATAAAATTTTACTTTAATTTTCTGAATTTAATTATTTTTCAATGTGATGCTTTTATTTGTTTAATTAAATTATAGTTGAAGTTAAGGATAATGCTATAAATAAAGGTAATGATTTAAATTTAGATATTAACTTTACAACACAGAATAACTTTTATTAAAACATCATCTAATTAAATACATTTATCTTTTTTTCTTAGAATGTAAGTATCATATCATAAATTGACTTTTACAACATAAAATAAACCATCATCTAATTAAATATTTTTATTTTTTATTTCTTAGATGGTAAGTGTTATATTATAAATTAACAACTTTACAACGTAAATAATTTTTAATAAAATATCATCTACTTAAATACTTTTATTTTTATTTTTTTACAATAACCAGTTCGTAAGTATATTATATTATAAATTAACAACTTTGCAACACAATATAATTTTTATTAAAACATCATCTAATTAAATATTTTTATTTTTTTTACAATAACCAGGTCGTAAGTATTATATTATAAATTAACAACTTTAAAACACAAAATAATTTTTATTAAAACATCATCTAATTAAATACATTTATTTACAATAACCAGCAAGTAAGTATTATATTATAAATTAACAACTTTCCAACACAAAATAATTTTATTAAAACATCATCTAATTAAATAAATTGATCTTTTATTTCTTTACAACAACCAGCTCGTAAGTATTATGCTCTAATTAACTTTTACAACACAAAATAATTTTTATTAAAACATCATCTAATTAAATATTTTGATTTTTTATTTTTTTTTACAATGACCAGTTTGTAAGTATTATATTATAAATTAACAACTTTCCAACACAAAATAATTTTTATTAAAACATCATCTAATTAAGTAAATTTATTTTTGTTTTTTTTTACAATAACCAGTTCGTAAGTATTGTATTATAAATTAACAACTTTACAACACAAAATAATTTTATTAAAACATCATCTAATTAAATTTTTTTATTTTTATTTCTTAGTGAGTAAGTATTATATTATAAATTAACAACTTTACAACACAAAATAATTTTTATTAAAACATCATCTAATTAAATACTTTTATTTTTGATTTTTTTGCATTAACCAGAAAGTAAGTATTATATTATAAGTTAACAATTTTACAACACAAAATAAATTTTTATTAAAACATTATCTAATTAAATAATTTTATTTTTTATTTCTTAGATCGTAAGTGTTATATTATAAATTAATTTTTACAACACAAATAAACTTTATTAAAACATCATCTAATTAAATATTTTTATTTTTTATTTCTTAGGACGTAAGTATTATATTATAGATTAACTACAACATAAAATAATTTTTATTAAAAATGCAAGGCTCTACATGAGACAGCTTGCAGGCCAAATAACTTGGTAAGCTCACAAGCTGGCTCTCAAGCTGAATGAGTTATTTAGCTCACAAGTCAGCTCGCAAGCTGAATAAGTTATTTGGCTTACAAGCCAGCTCATGAGGAGCCTTATAAAAACATCATTTAATTAAATAAATTTATTTTTTATTTCTTATTCTTAGAGAGTAAGTATTATATTATAAATTAACCTTTATAACACAAAATAAAACACCATTTAATTAAACAATTTTATTTTTGTTTCTTTATAATAATCAGATGGTAAGTGTTATATTATAAATTAACTTTTACAATACAAAATAAATTTTATTAAAACACCATCTAATTAAATATTTTATTTTTTATTTCTTAGGGAGTAAGTATTATATTATAAATTAACAAAATAAATTTTATTAAAATATCATCTAATTAAATATTTTTATTTTTTATTTCTTAGGGAGTAAGTATTATATTATAAATTAACAACTTTACAACACAAAATCATTGTCTAATTAAATACATTTATTTTTATTTTTTTACAATAACCAGTTCGTAAGTATTATATTATAAATTAACAACTTTACAACACAAAATATTAAAATGTCATCTAATTAAATTTATTTTTTATTTTTTAGGGAGTAAGTATTATATTATATAAACTTTATTAAAACACCATCTAATTAAATAATCTTATTTTTTGTTTCTTTATAATAACCAGATGGTAAGTATTATATTATAAATTAACACACTTTACAACACAAAATAATTTTTATTAAAACATCATCTAATTAAATATTTTTATTTTTTATTTCTTAGATTGTAAGTATTATATTATAAATTAACAACTTTACAACACAAAATAATTTTTATTAAAACATCATCTAATTAAATATTTTTATTTTTTATTTCTTAGATCGTAAGTGTTATATTATAAATTAACTTTTACAACACAAAATAATTTTTATTAAAACATCATCTAACTAAATAAATTTATTTTTGTTTCTTTATAATAACCAGGCAGTAAGTATAATATTATTATATCATAAGTTTACAACCCAAATGATTTTATTATACATCAATTAAATTTTTTTTTTTATTTTTTTTTTTTTATAACAACATCCATCATCTAATTAAATAATTTTATTTTTTTATAATAACCAGGAAGTAAATATAATATACTAGTGGCATTAAAAAACTACATAATTCACAGAATATTTCTGATGAATTTCTTATCATATTATAAGTTTACAACACATGATCCTTATTAAAACATTAACTAAACAATTTTATTTTTATCTTTTATAACAACTAGATTATGGAGATTTACATAATCATTTATCAAAAAATTTCATCAACCATCATCCGAATAATAATACTTTTAACAATAATTCTAATAATCATGATAATCATGACTTTGTTCCAAATTGTAATTACGTCAATCACATCGATCAAACTGCAGGCAACCACTACAATAATTCAATTCATCAAAATCCAGGGGATAATAACTCTGTCAGAAATAATAATAATTATTTTGGTGATGGTAATTTTGTTCATATTGCCAACCAAAACTCGGAGATTATTAATAATGTTCTCATTAAACAGAACAATGCTATTAACCCAAGTGGCATAATCAACCATAATAATGATTATATCATTGACCAGTATCCAACTATTGCTGCTACAAGCATTAATCATCTGAACAAATTTTTTGACAGTGATTTTATTGCTTATCAAAATCCCGTCAGCTTCAATTATTTTATCAACAAACAACTACTTATTAATATAGTATCACTTCAGAATCTCCAAAACGAAAAAATTACTTGGAAAGATAAAATTATGTCACTTTTTTGGATTTATTATGAGTAAATTTTTAAATAATAATAATTATTATTTTATTAAAATAATTAAGATATTATATTAATTTATTTATTTATTATTAATGTAAATTTAGAATAAATTATTTGCTGAAAATCTCCAACAAACTGAACAGAACAAATGAAAATTATAAAAAATAATGATTTTTTTTTTTTTAATATGTTATTATTGTCATTTTTTACTTTATATTTTTATTATTACTGTTTTATTTATTTCTATTTAGTGTTTTATTTTTTACTTAAATATTATTATTTTTTCTTTATATTATCGTCATCATTATTACTTAACATATATACAATATTATTTTTTCTTTATATTATTGTCATCGTCATTACCTAACATATACAATATTATTTTTTCTTTATATTATCGTCATTGTTATTTACTTAACATGTATACAATATTATTTTTTCTTTATATTATTGTCGTTGTTATTACTTAACATACTAATACAATATTATTGTTTACTTAAATATATTATTATTTTTTTACTTTATATTATATTATCGTCATTATTATTACTGAAAATGGCACAAATATATGTATTCATTGTCAAAGAATCTTTTTAGCTTAAGAAATCAATATACCCATCAGGGGATTCAGCATTGC